GGGCCCCAAGTTCAAAATCACTGCCAGATCAATCACCAGATCCGCCTGCTGGCGTTGACAGGAGGAGCTCCCATCCCACAACGGATGGAGCGCCGGAGAGCCTCAACCGCTTCCCAGCCGGGCCTCCTCCTTCTCCTGCTTTGAAATGTTAGAGGACAAACCGCTTGGGATTTCGATGGCGAGGGAAATCCAGGAACACGCGTTCAGACATCCATGTAAGAAAGGTCATGTGCAAAACTGGAGAGGCGGGAAGAAGGGGGGGGGCTAGACCCTGGAGAAGCTTGTGCCGACCTTCCTGGGATTCACGGTTTCTCCACAATGCATTCACACACCGGTCACGGCAGTGGGTACCCAAGCTTGGGACGAGCGGGACTCCGTGGGGAGCCGAGGGGAGGGAAGGCACGAGAAACGAGAGCGAGAAATAAAAGGGGAGGGGGGAACGGCACGGTACAGAGAGGTCCATGTCTCTTAGCGTACCGGCCCCAATCAGGACGAATGGGACTCCGCAGGGAGCCTTGGGGGGAGAGGAAGTCTGGGAAACGAGAGCAAGAAATAAAATGGGGTCCGGCGCGGGACAGAGAGGTCCACGTCTCTCGGCGTCCTGGCCCGGATCAGGACGAATCTTGATCCAAGCTGCACCCCAAAGCTTCGATGTCGTTGCTGATGTCGGAGATCATCCGGTCCCACTCGTCCCCCTCCGACGGCACCGACTGGTCGTCCGAGCTGCCGGCGGCGCCGTTGCCGTTGGTGGTGGAGTTGGAGATGGTTCTCACCGTCCAGCGGTATCGGCCAAAGCTATCCGTGATGATCCCCCGTCCGTCTTTCACGCCGATGGTCTCTAGGAAGTTCTCAAAGTATTGGCTGTCCTTCTCCGGGATGAAGGGACGGAGACCTCGGAGGAGGAGGAAGAAGAGGGAAGGGAATTCAGTGGAGGAGGTCTTTCAAACACGGGGACTCGAACGCAGGACCCCCTCCGCCCCCCAAACCAATACACGGCTTCCGGGGGGGAAAAAACTGAGGGGGACGGTTAGTCGTGATTGGAGAAGCGGTAGGATTGCCTGGAATTTCGGAGAGTCCTCGACTGACGAGCACAACGGAGCCCAGACTTCCCGTTGTTGAGCGAGACAGTTGTTGAGCAACTTTGTCCCCATTTTACAACCTTTTTCGCCCCGGCTGTTAAATGAATCCCCGCAACAGTTAAGTTAGCAACACGGTCGCGGAGTGAACCGGGCTTTGCCGTTGACTCGGCCGGGCAGAAGGTCGCAAAAGGGGATCACGTGATCCCGGAGGATGGCACGACGCCGTCAGTCTGAGTCGGTCGCCGAGCCTCTGAATTTTTGATCGCGGGACCATGGCGATGTGGCAACGGTCGTGTGAAACAGGGCGCTACTTTTTTTTCAGCGCCCGTTCCGACTTCGAACGGCCGCTAAACGAAATGTCGTTAAGGCGAGGACGACCTGTACTAGAGGGGTGGCGAGGGAAAAATGTCGCCACCTGTTCATCTAGAGATGTTCAACCAGGTTCATGTTATCCAACTCTTTTTAACCTCTTCCCTTTTTTTTTAAAGTTACCCTGAACTTCTTTTTATTGATTTATTGTAAGGCCAAAACCCATCAATCAATGTGAGGTCCCTAGTGCTCTCGGAGCTCGGGGGAGTTCCTTGCAGACGTCTCATGACCCAACTAGAGAACATCATCAGTGCTACAAGGGAGGAGGAAGAAGGAAGGAAGGAAGGAAGGAAGGAGGAAAATGGTGTCCTTGATTCTCTCCGAGCTGGGTGGTTATTCCTTGCAGACGTTTCATGACCCAACTAGGGAATATCATCAGTGGTGTGAGGGGGCAGAGGAGGAAGAGGGGGGNGGAAGGAAGGAAGGAAGGAAGGAAGGAAGGAAGGAAGGAAGGAAGGAAGGAAGAAGAGGAGGAGGAGGAGGAGAAAAGACTGTGGGGTCCTTGGTGGCCTTTGAGCGGGGTTTCCTTCTTGCCGACGTCTCACGACCCAACTAGGGAACGTCATCAGTGCTAGAAGGGAGGAGGAGGAGGAGGAGAAGAGAAGGAAGAGCAGGAAAAGGGGAGGAGGAGAATAAGAGGAAGAGCAGGAGGAGGGGAGGAAGAGGAAGAGGAGGACGAGGAGGAGGAGGGTGAGAAGGAGTGGACAAGGAAGGAGGAGGGGAGGAGGAGGAGGAGGAGGAGGAGGAGGAGGAGGAGGAAGGACTGTGGGGTCCTTGGTGCTCTCTGAGCTGGGTGGTTTCGTTGCAGACGTTTCATGACCCAACTAGGGAACGTCATCACTGGGAGGAGGAGGAGGAGGAGGAGGAGGAAGAGGCCTCCAGAACGGCAGCAGAAGATGTCCCCAACCCTACAGAGATACACGTCCTTTCCTCCTACCGCTGTGTAACGACAGATGCCGGGTGGGTGTGGTGGCCCCATCAAATATTGCTCTGTCCAGGAAGTCGATGGTAGACTCGGTGTAAACGATGTGGAAGACTTGGCTGAGGAGGGAGCAGAGTTCCTCGGCGGTGACCTGAAGGAAGGAGGGAGTACACAAGCGGGACAAGGTGGGACATCCTTCCAGGAAGTCCTTCAGAAGCCGAGGAGAACTTCCCGGAGACGGGGAGTTCTAGTCCTAGCTTAGGAGTGAAAGCCGGCTGGGTGACTTTGGGCCAATCACCAGGCGACGGTGAGTTCTAGTCCCGCCTTAGGCATTAAAAGGCAGCTGGGTGACTTTGGGCCAATCACCAGGCGACGGTGAGTTCTAGTCCCGCCTTAGACATTAAAAGCCAACTGGGTGACTTTGAGCCAATCACCAGGCGACGGTGAGTTCTAGTCCCGCCTTAGGCATTGAAAGGCAGCTGGGCGACTTTGGGCCAATCACCAGGCGACGGTGAGTTCTAGTCCCGCCTTAGGCATTGAAAGGCAGCTGGGCGACTTTGGGCCAATCACCAGGCGACGGTGAGTTCTAGTCCCGCCTTAGGCATTAAAAGGCAGCTGGGTGACTTTGGGCCAATCACCAGGCGACGGTGAGTTCTAGTCCCGCCTTAGGCATTAAAAGGCAGCTGGGTGACTTTGGGCCAATCACCAGGCGACGGTGAGTTCTAGTCCCGCCTTAGGCATGAAAGCCAGTTGGGGGACTTTGGGCCAATCACCAGGAGACGGTGAGTTCTAGTCCTGCCTTAGGCATTGAAAGGCAGCTGGGTGAGTTTGACCCAATCACTAGGCGACGGTGAGTTCTAGTCCCACGTGAGGAGTGAAAACTAGCTGGCTGACTTTTGGGCCACTCACCAGGCGACGGTGAGTTCTAGTCCCGCCTTAGGCATTAAAAGGCAGCTGGGCGACTTTGGGCCAATCACCAGGCGACGGTGAGTTCTAGTCCCGCCTTAGGCATTGAAAGGCAGCTGGGTGACTTTGAGCCAATCACCAGGCGACGGTGAGTTCTAGTCCCGGCGAAGGCCTAAAAGCCAGGTACGAGACGGTGCCGGTAAGACGGGGAAGGAACCAGACGGCGGGACCGGAAAGGAAAACCAGCCGACCGCCGGGACCCGAGTGAGAATCTCACCTTGTTCTCCGCGGCCAGGATCACCAGGCAGCAGGCTTCGACGGGCGCCACCCCGCTCTCGGACAGGGACCCCGAGGTGAGAGCTTTCGAACTCTCGGCGCACAGACTCTGGCTGGGGGAGATGCCGGGGTCCTGAGCTAAGAGAAACGGGGGGGTGGGGGCTGTTAGTGGGGAAGGCAGACCCCTCCCCTCCGGCTCCCCCCAAGCGGGCTGAGCATCAATGGCGTGTGGTTACAAATATTAAATTAAATTCAATGAAATTCAATGAAATATATTAATTTTCAATTAAATTTTCAATTCAATGAAATATATTAGCTTCAAATTAAATTTTCAATTCAATGAAATTAAATTAAATATATTAATTTTAAATTAAACTTTCAATTCAATGAAACGAAATGAAATATATTAATTTTAAATTAAATTTTCAATCAAATTAAATTAAATGACATTTTAAAATTAAATTAAACTAAATTTTAGATTAAATTAAATATAAAATTATATTAAATTAAACTAAATGAAACTAAATTAAATTTTAAATTAAATTAAACTAAATTAAATTTTAAATTAAATTAAATTAAATTATTAAATTAAATTAAATTAAATGACATTTTAAAATTAAATTAAACTAAATTTTGGATTAAATTAAATATAAAATTATATTAAATTAAACTAAATTAAACTAAATTAAATTTTAAACTAAATTGAATTAAATTAATTAAATTATATTAAATTAAACTAAATTAAACTAAACTAAATTTTAAATTAAATTAAATTAAATTAAATTAGTTAAATTAAATTAAATTCAATTAAATTATTAAATTAAATTAAATTACATTTTAAAATTAAAGTAAACTAAATTTTAGATTAAATTAAATATAAAATTATATTAAACTAAATTAAACTAAATTAAACTAAATTAAATTTTAAACTAAATTAAATTAAATTAAATATTAAACTATATTAAATTAAACTAAATTAAATTAAATTAAATTATAAATTCAATTAAATTTTTAAATTAAATTAAATTAAATTACATTTTAAAATTAAATTAAACTAAATTTTAAATTAAATTAAATATTAAATTATATTAAATTAAACTAAATTAAATTAAATTTTAAATTAAATTGAATTGAATTAAATTATATTATTAAATTAAATTAAATTCTGAAGGGGGAGCTCGCTGCCCTCTGAGCTGGGCGGCGTCCTTGCAGACGTTTCAGGACCCAACTAGGTTACGTCATCAGTGCTAGAAGGGAGGGGGGATTGTGGAGAGGAGGAGGAGGAGGAGGAGGAGGAGGAGGAGGAGGAGGAGGAGGGAGACCAGCTGTAGGACCTTGGGGACTGCTGAGCTGGGTGATTTTCTAGCTAGTCCATCCCGGGGTTGGGTGGTGGGGTGTTGTTTCAGACTGAGAGAGTCCGAAGGGACCTTGGAGGTCATCTAGTCCAACCCCCTGCTCAAGCAGCAGACCTTTACAGAATCATACAGCAGAATTGGAAGGGACCTGGGAGATCATCTAGTCCAACTCCCCTGCTCAAGCAGGAGACCTTCACAGAATCATATAACTGAGTTGGGAGGGACCTTGGAGGTCAACTAGTCCAGCCCCTGCTCAATCAGGAGACCCTTACAGAATCATAGAGTAGCTGAGTTGGGAAGGACCTTGGAGGTCATCTAGTCCAACCTCCTGCAGAGGCAGATCATTACAGAATCATGGAGTAGCAGAGTTGGAAGGGACGTTAGAGGTCATCTAGTCCAACCCCCTGTTGAAGCAGGAGGCCCTTACAGAATCATAGAGTAGCTGAGTTGGGAGGGACCTTGGAGGTCATCTAGTCCAGCCCCCTGCTCGAGCAGGAGACCCTTTCAGAATCATAAAATAGCAGAGCTGAAAGGGACCACGGAGGTTATCTAGTCCAACCCCGTGCTCAAGCAGGGGATCCTTACTGAATCACAAGAGCTGGAAAGGACCTCAGAGGTCATCTAGTCCAGCCCCCTGCTCAGGCAGGAGCCCCTGACAGAATCACAAGAGTTGGAAGGGACCTCGGAGGTCATCTAGTCCAGCCCCCTGCTCAGGCAGGAGACCCTTTCAGAATCATAAAATAGCAGAGCTGAAAGGGACCTCGGAGG